TTTCATCCATTTTGCTATGTATCTAGACATATTATTATAACATATGCATAGCAAAATAGATGTACTAACAAAATCAAAGCGACTTATAATTTGGAACGAAGGGAGTACCTACCTGGGGGATTTTGAGACTTAAGTCTTGCATATTCGTTTTGTTTGTGCATTTCCGTGAGAACATAGTATTTGCATATTTGAACCAGTTATCTGAATTATGCTTGGGATTTGTGCACTTCGTGATGCTTTCTGACAACCTTCCCTTAATCCTTTTATCTCTGTGCTCTGTGTTATTGCGACTGTTCTGTCTATTCATGATGCTTGCGGTGGAGTGCCGTTTGGCTGTGTAATATTGTTGGGCAACGGGATATCCCTGGTTTGGGACTTGGGGTTGACATTCGTTGCCCCACTGTTTTTCTCTTGCTCAGTCCAAAATGATGACCCAAATTTGTCCAATATCAATCATCTAGCCTGGCGTATCATGTTCTCAAAAAGGATGAGCACATTTGCCATTACCATTTTATTGCAAATGAAGAATACCGTATTTTTTTGTGGTTTATAATTACATACGAGCTATACACTATTTTACTGCAAATATAACGTGGTAAATGTGTCACGATTGCTCTGGCGGTTGTAACTCTAAAAGCGATGGAGAAATGCTTTGGAAATCCTCGTCCCAGCTTAAACATGGCAGATGCAACACAAAGGGTTTACTGAAAAAGAAAGAAAAGAGCACTCCCTTACACTGAAGTTCCGGTCGGCCTTCCTAGCATGTTGTCATGCACCAGCGCGGCTGGCAAGTAGGCCCCCTCCAGACCCTGCAGTTCTTCAGAGGTATCATTTGCCCAAATTAGCTCTTAATCAGACACATGAAAAGTCTAATTTCAGCAAAACGAACAAGGCCTAATATGTCAGGGCAGCAAGCAATTCATGACAGCACGGTTCACTATCCGTCCTTTTCTGAGCTCATGAGGTGAACACCATTGTTTTGCTTCTTTTTCTAAAAAATTGTTTTGCTTAGCTGCCCGCAAAACAATGGAGTACCTGGGCTGCAAAACCTGCAAACACGAGTAGACCATTTTGTGACATGAAACATGGTAATGCCGTACATGTTAGGGTCCGCTTGAGAGAGCACTAAACACTACAATACTGCAGTTTTGGTTTTGGTTTGGTTTGGGTTCATGCCTTCCTAAGGGTTCCTTCAGCAGCATGGGTTTCAATCCCAACCTGAATGCTTCCAGGGCAAGGATCAAGGGAATCCGGTTGGTTCAACTTAATCCTGTTGGATTCAATTTCAAACAAGGAATCATTCCTTTCCCTCAAAATCATTGTTCAGCTGTACAGGAATAAAACCTTCCTCACTTCAACATCCAACATTGCACACGCCTTACAAGTTCACAACAAACAAACATTGCACATCGGTGCTGTTGACTTTCAAACTAGCCTGAATTCAAATGCATGTTCATAACATAAACATACGAACATATTTGAATCTTCATCGTATACTCTCAAACAAACTGAAAACAAATACCCAGGTACGAGTCTTTACATTAGAAACCTATTGAATCATGTTTGAAAGATTGTCAAGGCAACACATAAACAAAACTGACAAGGCTTATTCTCAAAATCCAATAGGTAGGTAGCTTATGATGATGCAGGATAAAATAGCATGATAAATCCTCTTCTTATACTCAGACCATGGCCTTGTCCTATGCCTTTCTAGTAGCATTGAGTATTGACCTTGGAGCCTCCTGCAACAAACCAACATGTAGTGTTCAGTACATGCTTATTCAACAAAACAAGCTATGGAACAATCGATTACATTGTTTTCATGTTCATGATACTAGCAAGCTATCTATGACTAACTGAGAGACAAAAGGTTAAAAATCCATAACATAATAGCTATCTCAGTAGGGAAACACCAGAAACCTTTCTTGGTACTAACAAGTTAACTGCATTTTCGGCAAAGAAAGCAGGACAAACATGATATCTATGACTAAGAGACACTGGATATCTTTTGTATCAGCAGTAGTATGCAATGAATCCCTTGCAGAAACCCGTATCAATATCTTTTGTATCAATAATTTAAGACTGTAATTGTAATCTACAGGTAGAAGCTAATTAATAAGCTAACCAAATAATCTATGCATCTGAACTTTGAACCAAAGTTTTTCTGTAAACAATGTATCCAGAAGGCATTATGTAACTAATCACAACATTCAGTCTAAATTTTTCAGACATTGCTTTCCTGACCACATGATGACTTGCCGGCCGGTCAAACCTGCCTACCGCCCTACCGGCTTGTGTCAACTTGCTTACTGCAATCTAAAATTACTCCACATATACTAATTGTGTTCATCTACTCTCATCTGAATACAGCAGGACATCTCTTGCCATGGACACTGATGACCTATGTTTACATACAGATCTCCTGTTGTTGCCAAACCTCAAAGATACAGTACGACAGTACTATGGCTCTTCTCATGCATCTATTCGTGACCTTCTCACTTCTCCATCTAAAACCTACACCACGATGACAGAAGCTTTCCCACTGATTAAAAGCCTTCTCCTTTAACTGCACACAAAAATCAAGGAAATGCGGCAACAACCAAAATCAAGAACCTAATGGACCAGCTGACCAGCGTCTTCATACATCGGGCAATTTGTAGAAAGCAAATTAACTAAACGTAGACATTCCAGCAAACTGAATCAAGCACAGTAAAGTGTTTCCGAGCAAGAACCCAAGAACGGCGCAGCCACTTCAGATGTAACCAAAGATAAACACAACTTCAGTGCAAGAGTGAGTGAGCTATCATTTCGTCTCTCGATAATTATAAAACTGATTAGCATTAGTATTTAATAATAAAGTTAAATCACTCTAACCAATAAGACGAGGAAGAAGTTGCAGGTAATGCACGTAACAAATAAGAAATGTAATATGTGTGATAAGGTAAATAAAAAGAGACCTTTTTAGCCAGCTACTTGTTGAAACTGCTCCTGCAAATAATTAAGCTAAGGTTTTGTTCTAATTGAGCAATAAGACCACAAAGACCCAGCCATCACTGCTCTATTTTACTCCACGGCATACAACTTGAAGCAAAGCTTTGATAAGGATAAGAATTAAAAGTTTCTTTCCTTTTAGTTCTGTTAAATTAAATAATGCAAGTTGCAAAAAGGAAAAGGACACATGTTGGAGAAACCTGCATCTACATATATAGTGAATTCACAAATGGAGAACAACTCAGCAAAAGACAGCACGTCAGGTGAGCCTAATAGCAGAGCAGAGTAGCAGATTATGGCCATGGTGTTTTACTTATCTAACAACAACCATTATAAACAAGAAAATTTCCACTGTGTGATGCAATTATGAGTCTTTTAGATCAGGGACGAAATTGACGTACAAGAAGATCACAAGACTATGATACAGCAGTCCAGAAGCTAGCAACTACAGGCCATGAGACATACAGTATATGAGATGCTCTCGTCCTATCAACTCAAACACCACAGCACAGGCCATGAGACAGCCAGCCAGCCTGACCCTGGGCTCTATACAGGGTTATGGATGCTCTAGACAGAAAGAAATGGTGGCAATGCAGGGGAACAGTCTGAATGAAGGCGCATTTCTGAATTCCTGGAGTTCTTTCAGAAAGCACAAGCACATCATGTAGTCCTCTCAGGAGTCAGGACAGAGATGGCAAAGAGTAACGCTGAAGGTTCCTTCCATGGGCAGCAATGTAATGAAGGATGGTGGGTATCTATCGCTGGTGAAGGGTGATCACCTCACTTTGGTGAAGCTGTGGCATCAGGAGCTGGCTATATTCAGCTTCAGCATGCTAGTTGCCACGCTATTTCAAAATCTAACAAAGCAGTGCATAGATGCTATAATGGCGAGAGTTAACTTGCTTGTTAGCCTTTTTTGACAGTGGCCAGACCATGAATTGTCGGCAACTATTCCCACTGTTCATCTTTTGGTATGCTTTCATTGGCTTGCTTTAAGCTATAACTAGTTCTTGGAACCAAAAGAAGATCACCTTGTATTGAAATAATAACTTATGCTGTAAGTATCCTTGTAGACTTGCTTTCTCACATGCATTAACTTAACTAGCTCCTGCTGGTCTAATAACTTCTAAAGTTTTGAGCAAAAATACCATACTGGAACAGCGATAAGAAGCTTACACAGTTACACTTGGTCTACACATGTTTTAAAATCAGAAGACTTCATCATAAGACTAAGGACCAGCAGTGGCGGAGCGTGAATCAAAGTTAAGGAGGGGTCAATTATACTGTAGCATCCTTGAACTACCACTTGAGAGCAGCTAGTTGTTCTGCTGCAAGTGTATTATTTATTACTGGCACGGATATACTCATATTATTACTACTGCATCTCTACTATTGTATGGCTAACTTGCTTGCTCGGACAGTCCTGCTGCTTTGCACTAGCTAGTACTCCCTCCGGTCCTGTATATCTGACGTACAGGCATTTTTCATTTTGGCCATAATATCTGGCGGAGTTGGGATACCGAGAGTAAATTAATTAGTGTACAGTTTAAACAGATGGCCAGGAACGAAGCGTTGCATGCAAGGTGGCTAGCAACAAAGTGGTTCATGCATGCGTACTCTCAGCAGGTTGCCTTTTTCACCAATGAGCGATGAGGTAGGAAGCGTTTTCTCTCAGCAGGTTCATGCATGCGGCGCGGCTGTTAACATGCAATTAATACTTTCTTGGTCTCTGGAATTAACCCGCGCCAGATATACAGGACCGGAGGAAGTAGTATGTTGCAGGCCCAGGCTCCTCAGACATACATATGCACAGACCAAGGGGCAAGGGGGGCCGGTGCCCAGGTTGGCCGCCACTGAGCTCTGCCAGTGAGGACCAGGTCTTCTTGAACTCCTCAAGAGTAGAAAAACGAAAATACAGTTTGGCTATTGCTCTAAAACAATAATGCCTAAGGACGCATGCAGATATAAAGATGGCCCTTATATTGAAAGGAGTCCCCTCATACATATCCTCAGAAAAGATCAAACTTGCACAATTCGTAACACTGAAATTTAAAAAGACAAGAAGATCTACCATATACATGCTACTGTGTAGATAAGAAACCGTACCTTAACTTCTCCAGGTTGATGACACTTCCAAATCATCTTCAAGTACAAATAAGCACAACATAACACATCCTAGTTAAGGTTAAGACTCCGTTCTCTATTTACCCCTTTTGCCCATCTGCAGCTTGATGGATTTTTTGCCCATCTGCAGCTTGAGTTCCATCCTAATGGCAGCCCTTCAATTCTCAAATGACACTCACAGCTTCATATTTTCCGTGATAGTGTCAGCCTTATCTGCCTTGCTCAACAATTCTCTGAACACAGTTAATACATCCTCTGTCCTACCGTCTTCACAGCAGCTCTCAATCAAAGTCTTACAGGTAACAACATCGGGTTTCAATCCCATAGAGACCATGCCATCAAGTTGTCATGTGTGGGCGGGTGTACGCCCGGCGCAGGCGCGCCCGCGACATACGCAGGGCGGCCGAGCGCGCGTCCCAGGCGCGGAACGCGCCTGCTGAGGCTGATCAGGCAGGTCGTGGCTAGGAGGCCTCAGTTGGGAAGTTATCAGGATTAGTTCCCTTATTATTAGCATCTATTTGTTACCTTAAGATTAGGAGTTTGTTTTCCTTTTGTTGGCAGCCGCAAGGCTATATATGTTATGGTAACCGGACTTGAAGGAAGGAAGCAAGATTGTTATCCTATCTTCCATCTAATCTCAAGCCTGCGGTAGAGGGGCATAACCTCACCGGAGAAGACGGCCGAAGGCTACGAGCTCCGCAGCCGAGGCCCTGCGCGTCGAGGGTTCGACGCCCTTGACACAAGTAAAGTATTAAAGGTAACAGCAGTGGGTTTCAAGCCAACCAAGTGCATATCATCAAGGAGCTTCATCACTTCGTCCACTTCACCAGCTAAGAGATACCCATGAATCATTGTATTATAGGTAACAACATTAGGTTTTACATCTGCACGGGGCATCAAATCAAAGAGTTTTCGGGCCTCCGTAACCTTTCCTTCTTTGAATAGCTTGTCTATCATTGAATTGAAGAGAATGACATTAGGAGGAATGCCTCTATCCATCATCTCATAAAATAGTTCCTCAGCCTTCTCCCATTTGTCGTACCTAGCAAAACCATGAATTAGAGTAGTGAATGTTATGATATTGGGAGACAATCCATCATCAATCATCTGAGAGAATCGGGACATTGCATCATCTAGCCGGCCTATCTTGCAAAGCCCATCTATTATCGTCCCATAGCTGACTATGTCTGGCACCAATCCTTGCTGCTGCATTTTGTTAAAATTAAGGATTGCCTCATCTAACCTTCCACATTTAATGTATGCATAGATCTGTATGTTGAAGATACGATGATCAGGCCGCATTCCGTTTTGTACCATCAAATCTATGAGATTATTCATTTCAACAAGATTTCCTTCGGTAGCATACCCATGAAGCAGACTTCCATAAGTGGTGGCATTGGGTTTTTCACCGCTCTGAATCATGGAATTAAAAATCTCTCTAGCTTCTGCGCACAATCCAGATTTGCAAAGACAGTCTATCAGCATATTGTAAGTAACAACATTTGGTTGTTGCCCATCTCTGGACATTTCTTTGAGAATCCTGACTGCCTCTTTCCACTGTCCCAAAGAGAGGTATCCGTGGATCAGACTGTTATATGTAGCGCAATTAGGCATAATATGTTTGTCAAACATCTGCCGAAGGACCTCCTCGGCCTTGTCCATTGCTTGAACCTTGCATAGGCCATCAATAATTGAGCTGTAGGTCACAACATCTGGAGGGATTCCATGATCAAGCATTTCGCGAAACAGGGTGTGAGCTTTCCCTACCCCCACCCTCTTTACAGAAGCCATGGATTACGGTGGTATAAGACACCGCATCAGGTGGGCAGTTGTCTCCATCTTCAGCCATCATGTGGATCACCTCGACAGCCTCTTCACATTTCTTCTCAGCGCATAGCCCTTTGAGAAGTGTGGTGTAGGAGAAGACATCGGGGGTGCAGCCGAGCTCAGGCATCCGTCTGACCACAATATTCACTGTGTCACTCGTCCTCTTCTCAGCACAGAGGGTCCTGAGCAGGGGCGTGAAGGTGATGGCATTCGGCCTCAATCCCGTCTTGATGATTTGGCCGAATGCAGCGAAGCCGAGGCTCAAGCAGCCTGCATCGCAGCAGCAGCTGATGACGATGGTGTAGGTAGCTATGTCTGGAGCCACCTTCTTGGCGCCCGCTCGGGCCATACGGTTGAACATGGACATGGCGAGCGCAGGGCCGTCGCGCACTGTGGAGGAGACCGGGGCGCGAGCGACGGTGGTGAGCAGCTGGTTGAGGGCGTAAATGGAGCCGGGCCTCGCTCGGTGAAGCAATTCGTCGAACAGATCGAGTGCGTCCTCGGGGCCGAGGTCCCCCGAGCGGAAACACTCTCCGATAAAGCGCTCCAGCTCCCAGGAAGGGCGGCGGTCGGCCCTCCACACGTCCGCCGCTCCCGAAACGGCCGGCGGTGGGGAACGCCTTTGGATCGATGGGAGCACCTCGTCGCAGAGTTGGCGCGCGGTCTCAGCGCTGAGACTTCCCGAGCGGAGGCGCCGTCCAACGATCCGCTTCAGCTTCTTCAACCAAGGCGGGCGCGTCCGGCTCGACATGGTCGGCGCTGGCGGTTGGATCCGCACCTCGCGCCTCCGATTCCCCTCCGGTTCGGTGGGAAATGCAGCTCGCTCTTGGGAAGGTCCGCACAGCGCGGCGGTGGCGGTGTGCTGGTGTGAGAATGGGGAACGAATCGAAATTAGTTGGAAGCGTCGGCGGGCGGCGGCGTCGACGATTCGGTGGTGTACTCGCGGTGGCGGCTGGGCTCTGGTGGCTGCCTTCGCGTGCTTGGGGGAAGACTGATCACGTGCCTGGGAGTGGGCCACCAGGTTGGCATGTTTTCTTTGGGCCTCGACGTTTGACCAAGTAAATCTGGAGTTTTTTTTTTCAAGGAAAATAGAACATTAATTTGAGCGCCAGACAATTTGAGGCGTTATGTACATAGTGGCAACGGAGGAAATACTGATTTGAGGATCTAAAATGTCAATAACAAACTCAAAAAGTCAAAATGAACAGGAAAAAAAAGAGAGAAGTCGACCATATTTGACTTTCTGTTAATACTTATAGAATAATGTTTTTTTTTGAAAAGGTTATAGAATAATGTTGAATTTATTACCACAAATTCCTCTCATGTTCATGTTGATCTCGTGCTCATATCATGCAAATGAAGCTTGTCGTCTCATTTTTACAATTAGTTCAAAATAGTAATAAACCACGTGCAGTGAGAATAATAATAGTTTTTAAACCAACCAAACAGAAATGGATTGTATTGATAGAGAAGAAGGTCCAAGCTAAACAAACAACAACCCAGAAAAGAGTTTATAGAAAAAAAAACAATATGCACCAAGGCTACGGTATGTTGACAACAGCCTACTCTTAAACAAGAACAAGTAGACACACAATAACCTACAACAAAGACAACACCTAACGTGTAGAAGCAAACAAACCCTTGCCACCCCACCTAAAAGACATGACATTTTAAACTCATCAATAGCTTAACTCTAACAGCAACGACTTCTATAAATACACCATTGCGTCCTCGTTGAGCTCCTATCCTTCCCAACAATAAGCAATTAAAAAACATAATTGAAGGTGTATATAGTGTGTCGTAAATCCAAGAGTACATGAAATCATGATCATGGTGAAGACATGGTACGTAGCTCACTTGCTGTGGTGAAGCACAGTATATATGTAGGCACGATACCATATCATATATTGCTCGGTGATTATAGCTAGCATGTCTTATTCCCGATGACAATGCCCTGAGGGACAGTGGCAGCAGCTACCAGGGCTACTCTGTTAGTGCAGCCAGACAGCTAAGCCAAGCTCTCGGTCGCGACCGCCGTTGTCACGGGGCAAGTTTGGTAGCTCTCTCTCTCTCTCTCTCTCTCTCTCTCTCTCCATTTCCCAACAGCTCCAACTCTTGTTTCTCTCGCCTCCGGCTCTGCTCGCTCCCACCTGAAAAAAAACTATTTGATAGTGCTTCCTCATTGGCTCTAGCTGGACAGCGCAGAGGAGTGTGGGTGGAGAGGCGAGTTAGAGAGGGGCGTGGAGGCTGGAGCGAAGGTCCGTCGAGGTCAAGTGCCTTAGGCCGAGCAGCGACCTCGCCTCCTTTGTCAATGATGCATGAGGGGCGTGGGAGGCGCGCTGCCAAACTATGCCTCTGATTGGCAATTAATGAATAACGGGTTTTTTCACTACCCACACATATAGTGCAGGAAGGGATAGCTGGAAGAGTGCTTCCTATATGGAGCTAGGCAAAGCGGCGGTATTTGGCATGGCTACGTGGGTTCTCACGTGGAGTGGAGCAGGTGGAGCGCTGGCAAACTGTGTTTGGGACTACTCTACAAACTCCACCGTGGAGCAGCTCCACAAAAAACTGAAGTTTGTGGAGCACCTCTTTAAGTGCTCTCACAACTTCACCCTTTTTCCTCGAACCAAGTGTGTGGAGCTGAAACCGTTTGGCTAAAAAACATGGAGCGAAGCTGAAAAACGTGAAGTAGAAGCAGTCCCAAACACCGAGCACTCGGTTTTATGAACAAAACAAGCGTTACTTTAATATTGAAACATATATTTTAACCCATTTTGAAAACTACTTTTGAAACATAATTGAATGAATATTTTTGGGAAAAAAAAAAACCCTATTTGTGGCCTAATCGAACCTTTTTAGAAATCCCTTTTTCAATCAATTAAAATAATGAAATTTGCATAAATGCAAAACCCTAGGAAAATTAATTTGGAACATTTTATGAAACCATTTTCATTTATCCATTGAGCAACAAACTAATTAAAGCTTGGCATTTTTTAAAAACCATTAAATAATTTATTTTAATTTATATTTTATATTCACGGCCCAAAATTCAAAATTTTGGATTGATGTGTGACACAAACTCGACCTCATATTGCACCGGTGCCAAGCCGTGACGCAGGGGCGTTCATCCACGGTTTCGTCCGGTTACTGAAACCAGCCGAGCCCGTAGATGGCGGTTTAGAGCGGGCTGGCCTGGTTTCATGTGTTTCCACACCCACACAGCAGCAGCAAGCGCTACAGGTAGGATTGGGCTGGTTTTCACGGTTTCAGCGGTTTGAACCGTAAGGGGCGACGAGGAATGTGTGTAGTAGTAGCAACATTCGCCTTGTTGCTCTTGTTCCACAAATCACGGACTGAGCGCCACGCGCACGTACGGACGGGGACCGGAGGACCTAGCTAGCTTCCGAGGATTGCGCGGCCGGGCGGGGGTTGCAGTTGAGCATGTGTGCGCGCGCATCAGGAGGCTGTGTATTATATTCAGATACAGTATGCTAGTATCCACTCTCTTCATCAAAATCTAGTTAACAAAGCGTGAGCACAAGGGTATAATGGTGAGAGCCTAACTTGCTTGCTATTTTTTTAACAGTGCCTGGACCTTGAGTTGTCGGTATATTCTCTCTGTTCATCTTTAGGCCTCGTTTAAATCTAGAGCTAAAGTTTAGGGTGTCACATCGAGATATTATCGGCTGGTTCGTTTCATTGCTGGTTCGTGAAGAAGTACTGCTGGCTGGTTTATGTGAGAGAAAAATAATGTTCCGATTGGAAATTTACGATCGTTTATGACAAGCCACAGCCAAACGAACAGGCTGATATATGGGAGTGTTTGGATAGTAATAATAAAATAAATTCGAAGTCATCAGTACTCCGCGAGACGAATTTATTAAACATAATTAATCCATCATTAACACATTGTTTGCTATAGCTTTACTGTAGCACCACTTGTTAAATTATAGACTAATTAGGCTTAAAAAACCGTCTCGTAAATTAGTCGTAATTTGTACAATTAGTTATTTTTATGTCTATATTTAATACTCTAGGTATGTGTTAAATATCTGATAGGATATGGACTAAATTTTAGGAAAGGAACTAAATACGGCCTTAGTATGCTTTCTCAAATAAATGAACTGAATCCTGCTGGTGTAACAACTTCTAAAGCTTTGAGCAAAAGTACCGCACTGAAACAGTGACACGAAGCTGGCTGATTTTGCGTTCAAAGAAGTATGTTTTAAAATCAGATGGCTTCGTCGTAAGACCAAGGATCGTGTCTTCTTGAACCCAAGAGTAGAAAAAATGAGAATACAATTTCTTCGTCAAACAAAAAAGTGCTATTGCTAAAAAAAAAAAGCCTAAAGATGCAGGCAGGTATAAAGATGGCCCTTATATTGAAAAGAGTCCCCTCATATATATCATCCACACACAAAAAAGATCTAATAGGGACCTGAGAAAAAAATGGGAAAACACAGGAAAAAAGAAAAAAGAATGAAAGGGACATCAGGACATGGAAAACGAAAAAAACGTAGATTTACTCTGGAATATGGCCCTGTTTGGTTCGGAGCTTCTAAAACTTTAGTTCCTAAAAGTTTTAGCCAGTCTTCTAAAACCTCCTAAAAAAGTGTTTGGTTGCACCTCCTAAAACTGACTAAAAGCAATAAATGTTGTTGAACAAAGACACTTTTACCCTTCTTTAGCGGAGAGAGAGAGGGAGAGGGCAATAAATAAGGGGTAGTGGGGGTCCAGGAAGGGCTTTAGGAGATTTTAGGAGGGGTGGAGCTCCTAAAGAAAAACCAGCCTTCTAAAACTTTTAGGAGATTTTAGGAGGGGGTGTTTGGTTCTTTAGACGGATTCTATTCAGATTTTAGCTCCTAAAGCTTTTAGGAGGGGTAATCAAACAGGGTCTATATATAGTGGGAGGCGACGGTAGTTTGAGAAGTAAAAAAGTAGGATGAAAGATGGGTAGTTTAGTAAGTACAAAAAACATACTAGAAAAAAAGTTCCACTCTTTATTAATAATATTATTAGGTATATATTGAGAATATAGATAGATGTAGAAAGTAGAAATAGAGATAGAGCCAAAGAGTAGATATAAAATGGCAAAAACAAAAACCCCATCAGAGCGGAGGAACATGCACAACCAAAAAGCATGAAACCTAAATCAAATAATAATAAAAAAATCAGAAACGGCGAATAAAACGGAAGCACAAAAATTGAATCACGCATAAAAATCTAGACGAAAAAGCCACAGACACAAACAGAGGAATGGGCAGAAACTAAAGTGGGAAAAATATGAGAAAGTGACGTGGATACATAAAAAGGATGGGTGAATCACGGATCAAAAAGGGGTGGACGGACCGCGGAACAAGAAATTTTTCCTTTTTAATAATATATATAAATAAATATAGATAGAGTAATGTGTCATTTATTATCATAATATAAAGTTAGGATTTAGTTAAGCCAGCCTTCACTTTTTTATTCTCTGGTGTTCATATCGGCAAACCTAGCTTGTTGCCTTATTTTTAAGCTCCATTCGAACAGGGGTGAAGGTAAGTACATGATTGTAGGTGTACAAGCACCCACGTTAAAATACAAAACCTCTTATAATTTGGAACGAACCGAGTATCGTATAACCAATATTTATCGATTAAATCTATTATTTACTCTAGCCTTTGCTACTGTATTTAAAGTAGAAATTAAATCGACCACAAGCAGTGCGAATACTTTCATCAATAAATAGGCATTTGAAAAAACATAACTGGAGGGTGCATTGTGCCTGACAAATCGAGTGTACCTAAAGCTAATGTTCTGCATGTACGTATTCACATTTTTTTTCAAGACAACATTACGACAAGCGGTCGACTGAAAACAGAAACGGCCCGGACACGAAACCCCGGCGGACACGGTGGGCTGGATCTGGGTAATCCAGTTCCGACCCGACCGAACCGACGCGGGTGGAATCTGAGTCGGAGATGGGCCGGACCATCTCTCCTTCTCCCTCCCGTCATATATATCCTCTAGTCCACAAAAAAATCGCCCTAAGCCAAACCCAAATTCCCCACGCCACGCCGCAGCCGCCACCGCCATGGGAAGAAAAGACACCTCGTCGTCCTCCGAGGCCGCCGGCCGCGGGAAAAAGGAGAAACCTATGTCGGTATCCGCCATGCTCGCCTCCATGGACGCCCCCGCGGCGAAGCCCAAGTCCTCCAAGTCGGCGGCGCCGTCCAAGGCCAAGGCGAAGCCCTCCAAGGCGCCGGCGTCCTCCTACATGGGCGACATCGACCTGCCCCCCTCGGACGACGAGGACGAGGAGGAGGCCCAGCGCGCCGCCGCCGCCGCCGCCAAGCCCAAGGCGGCCCGCGCCGCCACCGTCGACCTCAGCGCCGGCATCGCGCCGTCGCAGAAGGACGCCAAGAAGAAGGACAAGCGCGAGGCCGTGGCGGCCGCGGCCGCCGAGGCCGCCAGGCGGGAGGCGCTCCGCGACGACCGCGACGCCTTCTCCGTCGTCATCGGCGCGCGCGTCCCCGGCTGGTCGTCCGCCGCCGGCGACGACGGCGGCGTCGACGACAACGTCAGGGACATCGTGCTCGAGAACTTCTCCGTCTCCGCGCGCGGCAAGGAGCTGCTCAAGAGCGCCTCCCTCCGGATCTCGCACGGCCGCAGGTACGGCCTCGTCGGCCCCAACGGCATGGGGAAGTCCACCCTGCTCAAGCTCCTGGCCTGGCGCCAGGTCCCCGTGCCGCGGAATATCGATGTCCTGCTCGTCGAGCAGGAGATCATTGGCGATGACCGCTCGGCCCTTGAGGCTGTGGTCGCCGCTGATGAGGAGCTCACCGCCCTCCGGGCCGAGCAGGCGAGGCTCGAGGCCTCTAATGATGCTGATGACAACGAGCGGCTGGTGGAGGTGTATGAGAAGCTGAATCTCCGGGACTCTGATGCGGCCCGGGCCCGAGCGTCCAAGATTCTCGCGGGGCTGGGGTTCGATCAGGCGATGCAGGCCAGATCCACAAAGTCCTTCAGTGGTGGCTGGAGGATGCGTATTTCGCTTGCCCGTGCGCTCTTCATGCAGCCAACGCTGCTGCTCCTTGATGAGCCGACTAACCACCTGGATCTGCGAGCTGTGCTATGGCTGGAGGAATACTTGTGCTCGCAGTGGAAGAAGACATTGATTGTTGTTTCCCATGACCGCGACTTCCTGAATACAGTGTGCAATGAGATCATACACTTGCATGATAAAAGTCTGCATGTCTACCGTGGGAACTTTGATGATTTTGAGGGTGGGTATGAGCAGAAGAGGAAGGAGATGAACCAGAAGTTTGAGGTGTATGAAAAGCAGATGAAAGCAGCCAGGAAGTCTGGGAGCAAGGCCGCACAGGATAAGGTTAAGGGTCAGGCGCTGTCCAAGGCTGCTAAAGAGGCAGCCAAGAACAAGGGGAAGGGTAAGAGTGCTGCAGATGACGACGATGACCAGAAACAGGTGGCTGTGCCACAGAAGTGGCGCGACTACAGTGTTGAGTTCCATTTCCCAGAGCCTACAGAACTCACACCACCACTCCTTCAGCTCATTGAGGTGGGGTTCAGCTACCCTGGTAGGCCAGACTTCAAGCTCTCAGGTGTTGATGTTGGCATTGATATGGGAACACGTGTAGCTATTATTGGGCCCAATGGAGCTGGGAAGTCAACCCTGCTTAATTTGCTTGCTGGTGATCTTACCCCAACTGAAGGGGAGGTAAGGAGGAGCCAGAAGCTGAGAATTGGGCGATACTCACAGCATTTTGTTGACTTATTGACAATGGAGGAAAATGCAGTTCAATATTTGTTGAGGCTTCACCCAGATCAGGAGGGAATGAGCAAAGCAGAGGCTGTCCGTGCTAAGCTTGGGAAGTTTGGGTTACCTGGACACAACCATCTCACTCCAATTGTTAAATTATCTGGTGGGCAGAAGGCCCGAGTTGTGTTCACTTCTATATCAATGTCTCAGCCTCACATACTCCTGCTTGACGAGCCAACGAATCACTTGGACATGCAAAGTATTGATGCATTGGCAGATGCACTGGATGAATTCACTGGAGGTGTCGTCTTGGTTAGCCACGACTCACGATTAATATCTCGTGTTTGTGAGGATGAGCAAAGGAGTGAGATATGGGTTGTGGAAGCTGGGACTGTGAATAAATATGACGGCACATTTGAGGATTACAAGGATGAACTCATGGAAGAAATAAAGAAGGAAGTTGAGGAATAATGCTGCTCCAAGTTAGTTGTGCTTTCCTGTTCTTTTATAGAACAGGCTGTTTTCTTGAACTGAAATTGCATGTACTATTAGTGAGTTTTCTTTACTCTGGTTTGCAGAGTACTCATATTCATATGGTTACAACTCTGGAACAATATGAGACATGCTTGTTTTATGTTATATACAAGAGAACCTGAGAATATGGTATTATTTGTTTGTATCTTTTGTTCTGACATATATGTGACTGGACTGGAGCAGTACTTCTCAATCTGCTCTCAAGATTATAGAAACTGAACAACGAGAAATGAAGATATGACAATCGAATACCCTTTACTTTACCTTTGGCATAGCAGGTGAACTTCATCTGCAGTCTGATCAACTAAATTTTTGTAAGTAAAAGGTTGAACTTCTTACCTTTTTAATATTCTAAATTATTGTGGCTTGTTTGTAAGATGACCGAGTCAATTTGCTTTTTTCAGAACTGAAATTCGTTGAATTGCCACCTGAACTCTGCATAAATACTTCTCTCAGCTTCTTATTTATTTCTTATACAATAATGACATAATGTCTCAGATCCAGTGCTGCTTCTTTCTATGAAGTTGAAAATCCAATAGGCTTCAATAATGCACCAGTTTGACTTAGCAGCACTAAAGGTTCCATTACTGGTTCAAATTTGTGTTTATGTACAGTAACAACTTAAATTTATCTAGCTGCAAAATCAGCTTGTTGCACTTTGCACATGAGAACATACCTCTTAGTTTCCCATAAACTGTAGTAGATTGTGGGCATAAAGCTTATAAAGGTTCTGTTCACTTGTTCGTCACATCTTTTTTGCTCAAATATACTATTAGTTCTTGTCATCATGGTTTACCCCCTTGAGTTTCTTGGATGAGTGCTACCAATAGTCTATTTGCTGCTGAATCTGTAAACAGAAATTAGTAATATATTGATATCATAAAACCAATCAACACATGCAAGATATACAAGTTGTTCCATATCCCCTTTGTTTATTTTCATTAATGATTGGAATGTGGGAGCAGCTCATCATTTGTTGTCAACAGCATGAATATCCTCCCTCTGCGCTTTGTCTTCACAAAAGCGTTTATATTTACCACTTGTTTGCAGATTCTGGAAGCACTTAACAGCAAAGAAATGGTAAGAAGAATTTTTGCAGGAATCATTAGAAATATACTTGGGGATTCTTTCCTAGTATATCACAACTCAACATGTTTTAGCAAATAACAACATCAGCATCAGGGCATGCACATCAAGAAGCAAAACTAGACTTCGGATGCAGCTTGCGCCAGCTGCAGTAACGATCTTGAGCTACTCTTACTCCTTGTCTCTTACTACTAGTCTAAAATAATCTTGTGGTGCTCTTACTCCTTTTCCAAAATATTTTTTGATTATAACATTGACGTGGTCTCTCTAAGGTTTGATACACTAACTGTGCATTTCTATTAAAATATGTTATTTCTGATAACAAGACACCTGTGAAAGAATTTCATGATGTAGATGGTAACATCAAGGCATTCTAATATATTGATGCACAAAAGTATATTTTTTTATTAACATGAACCAGAGGGAATACATACAATGGTTCCGCAAGCTACAGCCCATTTCAGCTCGTTATGATTTGAAGTGATGAGCTATCTATAGCTAACTTTGTACAGTAAAACATGCACACCTTTTGACCTTTATATACTTTACTATCACCACCACCACCACCACCATTTCATAAACATTGGTTAGTCATGCTTGTTCCTGGTGCTAAGCCATATCTGTTGACTGTTGTTTCTATTTGCTAGTTTGCTTGCTGCTGGCTGCTTCAACGAAGTCCTTAACTACTACTTCTAGTTTCTATCAGTCTTCTGTGGTTCTGCCCCTGCTGTTGGGCTGGTCCTGCTACTGGATAGTGGATACTGCTTACTGAAGTCTTAACTTATGTTTTCTGTGGTCCTCAGTTAAGCCTTATATCAATTGTGATGTAGAACCTTATGTGTCATTTGTCTTTGTGAGACTAAGCTGTTATGTACTTATGCCTCAATTCTGTTATTTACTCTATCTGGTGAACTTCTGTCACTTCACACAGGCACTATGATGCAAATATGTGTCATTTGACTTTGTGAGACTAAGCTGTTATGTACTTATGCCTCAATTCTGTTATTTACTCTATCTGGTGAACTTCTGTCACTTCACATAGGCACTATGATGCAAATATGCAATATATTTTTTCTGGCTAGGCTAAACTACAGAAGTGCAGGCGTGCAGCTGGCCTGCTCCCTGCTATCTGCCTGTCTCTGCTCCAATCAGGAGGTTGGTCCCGGTTTGGTCTGGCAAAACTTCGGTTCACAGATTCCATACACCTTTAAAAGCCAAAAGCATGAAATCTGAGTTCCACACCTACAAGGGGGCTTGTCTATTTTGCAATGCACAAATGACATGGTTATATTTAAGCAAGCAAAAGACATGAATATACTGCTATGTGTCTTGAAGAAACGATAAAGTCTCAAAACTAACTTTAACGAAAGTGAACTTTTCTGTTTTGGACAAGCAAAGGATTGTGAATATCAATATTCATTATTGTTTTGTTGCCTTACGTTACATATGCATTCTGATGCACTCTAGATATCTCGACAACAAAACAATAATCTGTTGGTGGTGGAGACTAGGCTTGATTAATTGAGTTCTATCTATCCTACCTTTATGCTTTATTTTTTTAATCCCTAGATGTATCTTAAAAATTGATGTATTTTAGAACAAAATTTATCTGGAAAAATAATCAAAAGGGGGAATTTAGACATTCTAGAGTTTTGGCAAGAATTGACGAAAAATAAGTATATCAAAAATCAAAATCAAAACTTTATGTCAAGCACAAAAGAAACCAGGAGACTTTTCAATAGAAAATAGTCCACAGACCTGAGACATGTTTGGTTGGGCGGCCAGGCAACAACTCTAGGTCATGGATTTTGGTCGGCTGATGGCTAGCCAACCAGGATTGATGTCTGGCAGGCAGAGCTAGGGTATGTTTGGTTGGGCGTCCGGACAATGGCTTTAGGCCATGGATGTGAAGCCACCAACCAACACATGCCCTAATACATGTCAAGAAACAGCTTTGAAAATCACCAATTAAATTAATGACAACCAAAATTGGATTTGGGAAGATAGCTGGACTACGAACCACAATATAATACTAGCATCCATCTTTATATAATAGTTGTTTAATGTTGCTAATGTTTTATGTACAGGCCTACTAAGAGCATTATCGGGTAGCAAACTAGTATACTAGAATGACATTTGGTTGCAAGGATCGCAAATGTTTACTTAAATGGAGGAGTGATAAGTTTTTCCCCAAATCATATTACACAGAGATAATTATACGTGCACAGGCCGTACGTGCATGTACATTTACCTTTACCTTTACGAACACGCGCACCTCCGGATGACTAAGGCCCCTGATGACTAAGGTTCGGTTAGCTTTGCTGAAAAGGCATGGCTAAAAGTATTATTCGTTGATTTGTTGTGAGAGAAAACACTATTCGTTCGCTGAAATAGTACGGCTCATAAAACAAGTGAACAGGGACCTAAGTTGTGAACTTTGAGATTCACGATAGATAGAACTTCATTAGCAAAGATTTGTAACTAATGCCTTACATTTGAGTTGCTATGGAACTTAGGCCTAGTTTAGTCCCCCTAAAGTTTACTCTCTGTCACATCGGATGTTTAGATACATGTATGGAGTATTAAATATAGACTAAAAAATAACTAATTGCACAGATTACGACTAAATTGCGAGACAAATTTTTAAGCCTAATTAGCCCATGATTTGACAATGTGTTGCTACAGTAAACATGTGCTAATGACGGATTAATTAGGCTTAATAAATTCATCTCGTGGATTATTGAGAACTTCTATAATTTGTTTTATTATTAATATTCGAACACTTCTATGTAACACCCTAATGTGACATCCTAAACTTTATTTTCTGGATTTAAACACCACCTTATATATAGTTTTATCCACTATTTGGTGTGCACTATTCTGCAACTTAATAATAAGTTTGGACTAATACCAATAATGCCCCTTGGAGGCTAAAGCCGAAAGTTCTTTCATTTTACAAAAGAGGAACGTTCACGAGCGCTTCCAAATGTATGTGGCCAAACCAAACTGTCTTGAATTTGGCTGGCACTTCTTCTGGAACGTACCAACAAAATTTGGTTCATGGGGAACAAGTATAACTGTTTTGTCGCTGTCTAGCCATTTGAGTTTCATAGGTATACTTGGCCATCGGGCCGCCTCGGCTCGGCACAGCCCGGAGGATGTCGGGCCGGCACGGCACGCCGTGCCTCCCGTGCCGTGCCGCTGCGGGCCTCATGCCTTGCCATCAGCCCAAGCATGGGCCTATGGGCCTAAATCCGTGCCGTGTCGGCCTGTTAGGCACGACCAAATCACTAGGTCGTGCCAGCCCGAGGCCCGTAGGGTTCAAAACACATAAAAAATTCATTTCAACAAGAAGTATTCAAATTTAAAGTATTTTTTTTTCTCAGAAGAGCTTCAAACCAAAACCAAAACCATACATACAGAGAACAAGAGGAAATTGAAAGGATAACTGAACTGTGTGCAATGCTGCCTCATTAAAAACCTTTCTAGGTAAAACTCATCCTTGTGAGAAACCCCAGAAAGGAAAAAAGAGTGCAGCACAGCTCTTATAAATCTTAAACATGTTCAAAGGTTTACATGATACATCACAGATACAGATCATAATCAAGTCTCAGGCTCTCAGCTCACCTCTCAAGTCTCATACTCTCACTGTCTCAATCTCAACTCTCAACTCAAGAACCACCAGATGCAGAAGCCACAGATGCAGATGTGCTAGTAGGAGCCCCATAAGTAGATGCATCTTCATCAAGATAGAGATGCTCGAAGGAGTCTACCAGTTCTTGGTTGTCAACATCATGCTGCAGTCTTCTTTCACCTAACTTCCAATCTTTTATGCAAGCAAGCATCTCCAC